CGCGACGGGACAGCGCTGGAGACGGTGCGAGCTTGGCGCTGGGTTGCAGAGCAGGGTCGCCCTGCAGCCCCGGGCGCGCGGTGCAGGGTGGCTACAGCTTGTGCTTTTCAGTGGGAGAGCTCGTGGTTTTGGTGCAGTTGTGGAATGGCTGGGTTTGGCAATAGTGCGCCGCGGCCCCTTGCAAGCCGCCCATTCACCAAAGGTGGCAATGATGGAAGCTACAGTGTAAAGTGAGCATTGGGGGTGCGTCTAGACTGGCAAGCTTTTGCTGCAAAATCTTGCCAGCTGTCTACACTGGCCCCTTGAATTTGCACAAGAGCACGGACTTTGTAATGGATAAAATCAGTGCTTCTTGCACAAATTCTTCCACGCTCCCGCTCGGGAAAAAGCCCTCTTGTATAAGAATACTTGCGCAAGAGGAACAGTGTAGACAGGGAAGAACTGTTTTGCGCAAAAAAGCCCCGATGGCTAAAATGGCGATCGGGGCTTTCTTGCGCAAAATCACATCTTGAGTGGCCATGGATGCTTTTGCGCAAAAGCATCCTTGCCAATCTAGACGTGCTTTTGCGGAAATACTTTTAACGGAAAAGTTTTTCCGTTAAAAGTATTTCCGCAAAATCATGCCAGTCTAGATGTAGCCTGGGGGATTACCAGCGTAAAAGGGTTAAAAGACTACAGTAAAAACTCATGGCTAGCCTATGCTACAGGCTGTCCTAAGTCCAAGATACATTCCAAAAAACTAAACATATGGTGAAACAACTTAGTCAGTTCCCAGTGACTGACTTCCATTTGCACAAATTGGTTGTTGTTTTTTTTGGGGCGGGGGTGCGTGACTTAAGAGCGGGGAATGGGAGGACTCTTAGTGCATCAGTTCCTACAAGAGTCAATGACTTTAGTGCGGAACAGATATATGCTGGGGTGACTTATAGTGGGGACTGATGTAATGGAGCTGCATCAATGCTTGATGAAACATGGGACAATTGCCAATGATTCTCAGTGCAAATAAGATAAACCCAGTTGTAGTGAGCATGTTTCTGATTCAAACCTTGATAGGGCTGGTTATACTACCACTTTCAGTCCCCTCAGTGAATGTGAAGGGAGAGAAAAGAAAAGCTGGGGCGACTTATAGTGGAGACTGATGTAATGGAGCTGCAACAATGCTTGATGAAACATGGGACAATTGCCAATGATTCTCAGTGCAAATAAGATAAACCCAGTTGTAGTGAGCATGTTTCTGATTCAAACCTTGACAGGGCTGGTTATACTACCACTTTCAGTCCCCTCAGTGAATGTGAAGGGAGAGAAAAGAAAACCAATTGCCTAGTCTATACTTCTCAGAATGTTTTTATTAACCTTGCAGTGAAACTGAGGTCATACAGGACACTATTTTGAACAAAACTTAATTTTCCTCTCTTTAGCACCATGTCTCAAAAGCAGCAGGATCCGCTGGACCTGGGGCGGCTTGAATACTTGCAAGCACTGGTCACAGAGTTCCAAGTAACAGAGTCTCTAGGTGAGCTTATAAGCCTTTTTATTATTATTATTAAAGTATATTCCAAATGTCAGGATCATAGCTGGCTCATCAGTTGAGGTTTTCTTCAGAAATGGGACAGCCCAGCCCACCTCAGCTGCCTCATTCTTCACCTAAATGCATATATATTGCAGAAGCCAAGGAGCAAGTACTGGCTAATCTAGCCAACTTCGCCTATGATCCCAAGAACTACGAATATCTCCGACAGCTTCAAGTCCTTGACCTGTTTCTCGATATGCTCACAGAGGACAATGAGACCCTCGTGGAGTTTGCAGTTGGTAAGGAGTAGCCTTAAAACTTTGTAAAATGAACAACAGTAGTTGAAAGCACTAGTTGGATTTTGATGGATCAGGGGATGTCAACCTTGCTGCTTTGATTCTGTAGTCCAACTGAGCCAGTTGTAACTAGCTAATTGGGCGCCTAAGGCAAGACCGTCCTCAGCGAGGGCGGGGGTACTGATATGGCGCAAGGCAGCGTAGTAGCTGTCTTTTCTGTGCCGCCTCAACTATGCACCCGAGGCAAGTGCCTCACTCACCTCGCCCTTGTTATGGCCCTGAATTGAACTTGGGGGAGAGGCTCAACTCCATGACAAACCATCTATGGCAGATGTTGCTCAAACTGCTTAATGCCCTCAGATACTACAACGATGATAGGAGTATAAAAATCTATACAGAACAGCTGAAACAGGTGTGAGATCAGGATAGGAAAGCTTCCTAATTGTTAGGGTGGTTAAGCACTGGAATAAATTGCCTAGGGAGGGATCTCCATCATTAGAGAGATTTAAGAGCAGTTGTGACAGACGTCTCTCAGGGATGATCTAGATCAGTATTTTCCCAATGGTGTTCCGCGGAACCCCGGGGTTCTGCAAAGTGAAAATAAGGGTTCCATGAGAAAATTCCATTACAATTATATTTTATGATTTAAAAAAAATTTAAGCATTTATGAATTTTATTGAAAACAATTTTCATTTGTGTTTGCCACGATAAGTGTCCTTGTGTAATGTCATTACGCTGCGCACACAGTCAGTCAGTGGTGCGATCGCCTGTTATATACCACCGTAAATACCCATACTCACTCATTCTCAATGTGTTTTGTTTTTAAATATGTGCAATTAAACTAAATGTTGATCTCATGAACTTGTTTAGCATTTTTTATTATCCTAACTTATTTGTGGTCTACTTTTTCAGCTCCATATATAAAAGATTGTTATTAGGGGTTCTGTAAAATTCTTTCGAGTTTAAAAGGGTGCCATGGCCAAATAAAACTGGGAAACATTGATCTAGATGGTGCTTGGTCCTGCTAGGAAGACAGAGGACTGGACTTGGCCTCTCAAGGTCCCTTCCAGTTCTAGTATTCAATAGGACTTGAGGTGAATTGCTAGGAAGACAGAGGGACTGGACTTGACCTCTCAAGGTCCCTTCCAGTTCTAGTATTCAATAGGACTTGAGGTGAATTATTTCATATTAAGGCAACATTCCCCTTCACTCTACTAACATGCTGCAGTGCTGAAAATTAAACTGTGTAAGATTAGATAAATCTCTAAATAGTGAAACACAAAGTGTTTTTTAATGAGAGTTTTTAACCCATGTCCTTATTGTAATGAGACAACTATTGAAGCTTAATGAGAGTTTTTAACCCACGTCCTTATTGTAATGAGACAACTATTGAGAACAACTAAGATTTTGCCAGAGAGCAGAATCAGTACTCTTTATTATGGTGGTTGTTGACCATTAATCCTAAAATAACTTGTTCTAAAGAATATGAGGCTTCCATTCAAGTGAGTTAGAGTGAATTTAATACAACTGGAGAGCTAGCCATGCCAAAATCAGATCCTGAATGGGTTAGCAGGGTTAAATGATGTGATGGTTAAACTTCCACTGACAGAACGGCACTGGGGGTGTTATTGATTAAAATGTTGCTACTGTGGCTGTACTCTAAGTGCCAAGTTTTGTTGGCATAGAATATATATTAGTATTTACACAAGCGATAGAAATCATATTTACAATATCTTAATGCATATTAATAAGGCCATGCTACTTCTGATAACCTCTTGTAATTGAGTCTTGCTAGAACCCTTGTGCGGTACAGAACGTATATCTAGGAATCGCTCACTCTTCACTGCATTGTAGCCACCTTGGAGGTGAAAATAGGCAGCTCCTGAACAGAAAACCAAGTCTTCTAATCCTACTCTTAAAAAAAACTTACTAAAGGATTTTTAAGTGACCCGTCTGTTTGTTTCATCTCCTGTGAAAGGTGTTACCTCCAACAGTATAGCACCCCCTCATGTCACATAGAGGAATGAGCACTTTGGTTAAAAAAAAAAATCACTTTGAGGAAGGAAGAACAGATTTTTGAGAATAAAATGATCCAGGAGCAGGAGAGTCCCAATTTCCCAACCACTACAAAAATATTCTGGGCAGTTGATTGTGTGTGAGGAAAAGGGTCTCAGTGAAGTGTAAAGCCTTATTTTGTTTCTGATATTGCATGTACTTTGTACACCAGTAAGAAGCATCATTACATTGGGTGGTACTCACACCTCCACTTGCAGTCTGTGTATATATACACTTGCCCTTAATCTACACGAGAATCCTGTTAGGAAATAACAAGTAGGCTGTTTTTGTGTTTTAAAGAGAACAACCTGGGCCCTGTCACAGACTAGTTTGAACTAACTTAATTCCTGACTGGCCCTGCTTAGTTATTTTGGCTCTAGTTACTGTGTAGACAAGCCCCAAGAAAGAGCTGAGGATCCTGGTTGTAGCAGTGCCACTTATACCTCAACAGGGAGTTAGATAGGTGATAGTAAGAGGGTGCCACAATCCCTCTCTTTTCTATTTCAGGTGGCCTTTGCAACCTTTGTCTGGATAAGACAAACAAGGACTATATCTTGGCGGCAGATGGGGTGGCACCTGTAATAAACTGCTTATCCAGCTCAAATGAGGAAACAGTGATGTCAGCAGTCACTACTTTGATGTACTTGACCATGCCACAGTCTCGCCAGCAGACCACAGCACTCCCGGTCGTAGAGTGCATGCTACGTTTCTCCCTCTCAGCTAACAGGAGGCTAAGCAACCTGGCAAAGGTCTTCCTTGAGGATTACTGCTCTCCTGAGCAGGTGGAGGAGGCCAGGAACCTGAGCAAACATACCGCTGTAGGGATCCCTCTCCCGAAGGACTGACGTTGTGCAGAGCAGAGGGAGGAGCTTGACTCTTCAATTGAATGAGAAGAGATATTCCTGGCTCCATCTTTAGAGGCCCCCCTCCACCTGCAGGCTAGGTCAAGAAGCTGGTGAAACCAGTTGAAAGGAGAAAGACATTCCTAAAATTCTGCCTCCATTTGAAAGGCCCAGGTAAGGAGCCAGGACATGGGTCCAGAAGGCAGGATTGACAGCTAAGCTATAACAATACAAAAATTATGGGTGATAAAAATCAGGCCAAGTGACTCCTGAACCAAATAATCATTTCTGATGCTGCCCTTCCTAGTGTGATTGTCAAGTAGCTTAAACCCAACACAATTCTTTTGCATCACCTTCACCCTAGCTGCAACTATTGCTTCCTGTCTTCTCAGGGACTATATCTTTGAAATAAGTTTAAAACATATGGTTTTTATTTCTCGGTAGGAGAAAACACACCACTTTCTCCCTGCAATTTGCAATGTGGTCACATATCTCAGGACAAAGTAGGAGCCAGCATCCTCATACCACAGGCACCTGGTCAGCTAATTATGATACAGGGCTGTTAAATATCAGTAGGAATAATGTATTCCACCACAACATGGTGGAAAAGATGAAGATTAATATTTAGAAGATAATACTAACATTACAGCTCAGTGGGACAACCCATGTTGTAGTAGCTTTTGTAAAACTTAAGATATTAACTTAAAAAAATTCAGAGTTAAGTATAAACAATTCTGAATCAGATATTCATTATCTACAGCAGTGGGTTTTAAATTATGGGTCGCAACCGAGTACTGGGTGGTGGAATGTCAGGCACTGGGTCTCATTGCTCAGGGCGATCAGGTGACCAGTGGGGGGTATGAAGACAGCTCCCTGCTGTCCTGGCACTGCAGACTGCACTGCATCCCAGAAGTGACCAGCAAAAGGCCCAGTTCCTTGGTGGGGAGGGGGAAGCACACAGCACTCCGCATGCTGTCCCTGTTCTGAGCACTAGCTCCCGTTGGCTGGGAACCTGCTGCTGGCTGCTTCTGAGGTGCAGCATAGTCTGCGGTGCCAGGAGAAACAGGAAGCTGCCTTACCACCACCACCGACTGGGAGTCGTTCAAGATAAACCCCTCCTACTCCAGCCCTCACCTCCCTCCCCAAAGCCAGATCCCCCTTCTACACCCCAAAGATATTATCCTCAGCCCTGCCCCACAGCGTACACTCTAGTCAAATTATGTTGGGTCATGGGCATCAACAATTTTCTTCAAGTGGATTATGAGAATTTTTGCAAACCACTGGTCTACAGCATCTGAAGCCCAAGTCTTCTCAGCTCACATTACTACAGAGAATCAGGAAGTGAAAAAATCTTCTTTCATTATGAACCAACCAGGGTAAAAAGGGAAAGGGTGCTGAACAGCCAATCTGGCTTAATATGTGAAATTATCAGAACTGTGGAAAACAAGATTTCCTTTCCTAACATGACCTCATCGCTCATACTTACAGCTTCAGGTCCTGCAAGAGTGAATGAGACAGGGTACAGTGTTTTCATAGTTTCATAACCCTGCTTCCTCTTTCTAATTTCTTCACCCTCCCCTCCCTTTCTGTCAACCCCAAACTTGATATCCAGCATTATAAGCAGTTGCTTGTCTCGTCATGTTTCTCCCTCAAAACATCATGAATGACTCTCCAAAGATTCAGTAGTTTAATTGCACCAACATTGCAGAGAGGATACAAATCTTAAACTAAGCTTCGTATCATTGGCCTTTAAAACCCCACCTACCCAGGTCAGTTCTCTTCTTTTAAAAGGGGGTTTCGTTGCCAGTTCCCAATTTGGCTGCCTCCATTGGCAATGAGACTAGCACAGCATTCTTTTCCTGCCTTACTTCTGCGTTTACTTTCCACTATCCCCCTCCAGTCATCGGCCCACGACTGCAGCCGCCTACGTGGTGGCTGAAGCTCTAGGTGCTTGTTATGGCAGCAAGTGAACAAGATGTGCTCCCAGCTCGGCTTAGGCTCCGCACCTGAGAAGAGCCAGAATGGAAAGCTGAGGTTAGTTGGTCTTTCCTCTGAACAACAGTAAATCATCTGCTGTGAAATCTCCACCTTGAACTTCCCAAACCTTGAATGGTCTCTTTATCATCAAACAGCAGGTCAGCTGATACAACTGTTTTATCTCTGGTCAGAATCAGCCGCTCCACAAACTTAGGACCCAGATGTTTTTCCACCCAGTGGTACTGTGAGGAGAGGAAGAAGAGCATTAGACGAATTGTACTTAGCAGCAAGTCTGACTACTCCTAGCGCTGTGATCTCATGCTGCAGGCCCACATCTCTCCTAGGAGCGTTATGAACCCTGCAATTGGGCCGTTGTCCTGGACACTGAAAGGACTATTGTGAACTGTACTTTCAGGGCCCTTCGCTCGTCCCTGCACTATGTACCTAAACCATGTCAAAGCTGAGAGCTGCCCTGTCTGCCTGCCAGGAGCCCCCAGACAGTGCCCAATTTGTTAGTACTATTCAAACATTTAGGGCCTCAATCTCCTCTCTTACCTTACTGTAAGACAAAACCAGCAGTGTAGTCCATGCAGTTACACTTGTGTAAAGCAACCTGAGAGGAAAGTCAGCCTATGGAATATACTAGGCCCTTTATTATTTAACCCCAAAGTACATGATTATCCCCTCTCTCGCTACATTTCTGCCTGGCACTGATCTCTTGATTTAGTCAAGATTTTCTCAGAGGAGCCTCCAGCATGCAATGCAGTGCATCAGACCCCTCCATACTTGCCTCTGGAGTATGCAGTGGCTTCTACTTGATTCTATTGCATCCGTTCTTTTACCTCCTCCATTCCTCCTATGCCAGGCCTGCACAACTCAGAAAGTGGCGAGGGACATATTACTCCAAAGAAAACAGCTGCAGGCCGCAAGTAGGGTTGCCAGATGCTCTCCCAAAATATACTGAACACACAGGCTAAAAATCTTTTTTTTTGGGGGGGGGAGGGAGAACCCACGTGTGTCGGGCATACCAACCCAACCCCACACTGCCCAGCTTCAGCACGCAACTAGGGAGAACCCACGTGTGTCGGGCATACCAAAAAAACCCCACACTGCCCAGCTTCAGCACGCAACCACAGATTTTGTTGAAAAAATTCACACACAAGGGAAAGACTCCCAGTCACACACAAAGAGAAGAAATATCTCATGGCGCAAAATTTGTTCCCTCTGATACAAGTTATAATATCAACGGGGCATAAATTTTTACTAGCCGGCGAGCTGTGATAGGGTGGGGCTGCCTCGTGGCGGCGAGGGCAACCTGCCCCGCATTCCAACAGCGCTGAACCCCCGTGCTGCATGGGGAGCATGGTGTTCTGACAGCAGTCTGCGCCGCGTAAGCGGCCACCCAGCCAAGCAGCGTGCAGGGGGTCCAAGTCCTGGGCCAGAAGCAGGGGGGAGCTGCAAACGGGCGTAGGGCAGAGCCAGACGTCAGGGGGACAGGCGCTGGCACAAGAGAGCGCCACATTCAAAAGGGGAGTAGAGGAGAGTGGAAGAGAGGAGGGAGGAAATATTATTTCCGAAAGTCGTGGGCCGCACAGTGAGCCCCTTCGGGCCGCATGTTGGGCGGGCCTGTCCTATGCCATTTCTTGCTACTGTGGTACGAGCTACTGAAAGTTGTTGTTGGTTTGTCCGGTTTGGTTTTTAAGTGTTTTATATTCTGGCTTTCATTGTGTAGGACTCAGATGTCTTGCAAAAGGCATGGCACTGTGTGGCCTAGGCAGACTACTGCTCCTGGCCTTTTATATCACTTCTCAATCTGAACAGCTGCCACTCAAGAGTATTGGTGTGCTGGTTCCTGCCGACTTCACAGGCTTTGCTCACAGTGACACGGTACTTGGGCACACACTCAGGGTACATCTATACAGCATGGCTATTTCAAAAGCTACCCCTCGTCTACACAAGCAGCCCGTTATTTTGAAATACACTTTGAAAAAATGAGTGCGCTATTTCGCCATCCCGCTAAACCTCATTGCACAAGGGTTAAGAGATGGCTCAAAATAGTGTGTTATTTCGAAATTTGGTGCTGCGTAGATGCATCAAATTTCAAAATAACTATTTTGAAACAGATTCGAAATAAGATATGCAATTTGTGCTACGCAAATTGTGTATCTTATTTTGAGTTTAGGGTGCTGTCTAGACGCACCCTAATAATTGAAACTGGCAAGATTCAGCAATAGCATCCTTAAAACAGAAGTGAGGGGAAATCTCTAACCTTCTCTAAGATGCAGTGCTCATACTTCAGTAGGGGAGTTGTGCAGATAAAAACATCAGTGCTTTAAAAAAAAATCAGCCTTGATTAGTAGATGTCAGAAACATAGATAATAGAAAAAAGCAGTTGTACTTTAGTGTCCTTACTCCAGCATATGGATCATTTCCTTCATGGCTTCAATGGCTCCTGGAATTGGCTCCAGCCCCAGAAAGAAGCCAGGTGACTCATAGATATTAGCTACTTTAGCCTGGAAAGAGATATGAGGAATATTAGCAATTTTTTAAATTGGAGTTTTGTGCACAATAGCTATTGAAAGTATTCGACATCAGAAGGACCTCTTTTGCCCACATTTCAGGGAGGGAGGCCAAGTGGCTGAGATAATTGTAAATGGGTTACTTAGTCTCACCTACTGGTGCCTGGACAAATCCAGCCCAGGCAGGTAATGGCTGGAAATAATTACCATCTGGTGACCTTTGTGAAATGAATTGTTAGATTTCATTCCAGTTCTCAGTAGACATATCTGCCTGGTTACAAAAACAAATCAATGGGCCACAACACACAGACACATACCACACCATGATAACTAGCACTCTCAGCAGAAGGGCCAAAGTCAGACTGGGGGACAGACTCAGTTATCCTCACATTTTACAGTGGATCCTGCCAGACCATGACTGAATATACTGGTGGCATATTTGTTGTGTTGCTCTCAATGCTTTTGAGTGTGTGCTGTCCAGGGCCTCAAGCAACAAGACTGAAATATCTATGAGCAGATTCTAGTGTCGGTATGACAGTTTCCCCATGGTGATATCAGTGCAAATTCTATTTTAAGATGTTGTAGTGGCAAAATGACTAAAGCAAGGGAATTCAAAGTTTGGATAATATCAGAGGGGTTGCTGTGTTAGTCTGTAACTTGAAAATCAAAGAGAGGTCCCATGGCACCTTAGAGACTAAACAAAATAGATAGAATCATGAGCTTTTTTTGGGGGGGGATCCACGAACGCTCATGATCCTATATATTTTAGTTAGTCTCTAAGGGTATGTCTACACTACAAAGTTAATTCGAACTAACAAACGTTAGTTCGAATTAACTTTTATAGGCGCTATACTAGCGATCCGCTAGTTCGAACTTAATTCGAACCAGCAGAGCGCTTAATTCGAACTAGGTAAACCTCATTCCACGAGGACTAACGCCTAGTTCGAATTAAGGGCTGTGTAGCCACTTAATTCGAACTAGTGGGAGGCTAGCCCTCCCCAGCTTTCCCTGGTGGCCACTCTGGGCACCACCAGGGAAACTCTTCTGCCCCCCTCCCGGCCCTGGGGCCCTTAAAGGGGCATGGGCTGGTTACGGTGCCCGTGCCAGGTGCAAGCCTGCCAGCACCCAGCCAGCAGACCCTGCACCTGGCACGGCTCGAGCCCGCCACCCGATGCCCCCTAGCCCTCCCCCTCTTCCCCGGACCAGGCTGGCGGCGCCCCGGGGCCTTCCCCCGGCCCCCACAAGC